TACACAATCAAACCTGGACTCTTACAACTCTTCCTCCAGGTAGAAAGGCCATAGGCTGCAAATGGGTGTTTAGGATTAAGCAAAATCCTTGTTAAGAAATGTGGTTGGGCCTAACTCAACCCTACAAAACCGGTTGGTAGAGTGAGGATTGCCCCCACTTATAAACACATGTTCATGCCATATATTGTCCGATGTGGGACTCTTAACACACCCCCTCACGCTCAGGACTGGACAACTGAAGCGTGGAAATAGATGGTGGGTGGCCCGATAGCGGAAACCATAGAAGGTGGCCCACCGGATCTTAAACGAGGCTCTGATACCATGTTAAGAAGTGTGGTTGGGCCTAACTCAACCCTACAAAACCGGTTGGTAGAGTGAGGATTGCCCCCACTTATAAACACATGTTCATGCCATATATTGTCCGATGTGGGACTCTTAACAATCCTGATGGTTCAGTACTAAAATACAAAGCCAGACTGGTGGCCAAGGGGTTTCATCAAGTTCAGGGTTTTGATTTTCAAGAAACTTTCTCACCAGTAGTGAAGCCTGTTACAGTTAGGGTGATCCTCACATTAGCTCTCACCAGGTAGTGGCAAATCACTCAGCTGGATGTCAACAATGCCTTCTTAAATGGCATCCTAACTGAGGAGGTCTATATGCAACAACCTCCTGGGTTTGTGCAGACTAACACCACCTTAGCTTGCAAACTAAACAAAGCCTTCTATGGATTAATACAGACACCCAGGGCATGGTTTGAGAGACTCACCGATGCTCCGCACTCTCTTGGTTTTATATCCAACAAATGTGACCCTTCTCTGTTTATTTTGGCAACCTCTACTTACACTATCTTCATGCTAGTGTATGTAGATGATATAATTGTCACTGGCAGTTCACCTAGCCATATTTAGAGTCTAGTGGCTAAACTCAATGATCAGTTTTCTCTCAAACAACTTGGTGACTTGAACTATTTTTTGGGCATTGAGGTGTCCAAAATCTCTCAAGGTGGTCTCTTTCTGTCCCAAACCAACTATATCAGGGATCTCTTAGCCAGGACTAACATGAGTGAAACCAAAAGTTTACCCACTCCTATGGTTTCCAATCTCAAGCTTACAAAGGAAGGCTCAGACTACTTACGAGATCCTACTCACTATAGGTTTGTGGTAGGAGCATTGCAATATGCCACTATAACAAGGCCAGAAATCAGCTTTGCTGTCAACAAAGCTTGCCAATTTTTGTCACAGCCTATGCAAAGTCACTGGGTGGCTGTTAAAAGAATTCTTAGATATCTCAGGGGTACTCTTCATCATGGTCTTCAGATGCTACCCTGCAGTTCATCACAGTCCCTCACAGCGACTGCATACTCTGATGCTGAATGGGGTTCTGATCCTGATGATAGAAAATCAACATCAGGGTCATGTATATTTCTTGGTCCTAATCTAGTGTCATGGTGGTCTAAGAAACAAACATTGGTAGCTAGATCTAGCACTGAAGCTGAATATAGGAGTCTGGCCAGTACTTGCATCAGAGGTTCTCTGGATCACATCCCTTCTTACAGAATTAAAAACACCCTCTCAAACTCCTATTCTCTACTGTGATAATTTGAGCACTGTGGCTCTGTCTCACAATCCTGTCCTCCATGCTAAGACTAAGCACATGGAGTTAGACATCTTCTTCCTAAGGGAAAAGGTGCTCAATAACACCTTTGTTGTCAAGCACATCTCAGTTGCCATGCAAACTGCTGATATCTTGACAAAACCTCTCTCTGCGCTCAGGTGTCTCAGTCTCAGAGATCACCTCAAGGTTCTTGACGAATCTTCTCTCCAATGTTAGCAAATGGCTCTCTCAGGGAGCAGCACCATTTGAGGGGAAAATATTAGAGTATAAGCTATAGTTAGAATAGAGTATGTAATGCTGACCTAGCAGCAATTGTATCAGAGTTAGTTCTCAGTCATAACTAACTATTAGAGTTAGTTATGCTGAGCTGTCTTGTATCAGTTAACAAGCTATGTATAAATAGCATTCAGCTTGTATCATTTTCAGTTTGAGAATTAATCAATACAATACAATTCTTCTCTAGAATGTTCTATTTCCAACAGTTTATTATAATTTTACAAGTTTCTTGCTTTGTTCATTCTTTGATTAGGTTGGTGTGGATAACATGTGTATAATCGTAGATGCTGTGAAACGGCAACCCTCAGATATACCAATCGAAGAACAAATAAGCAATGCAATGGGGGAAGTTGGACCATCCATAACACTCGCCAGCTTATCAGAGGTTCTAGCATTTGCTGTAGGATCATTTGTTTCTATGCCAGCATGCCGTGTTTTCTCGATGATTGCAGGTAAAATAGTTTTCTTCTCCAGTCCTGCCCTTTTGGATAAAACAAAAATCAAATTGACGTTTTTGTATAGTGCATTTCAAATTTTTGTTTATGCACATTGAAAGGAGGGGGGAAATCCAACTTCTTTATCAAGTGATTTTAAGATTATTTTTTCTTTGCATTTTTTAACTTTTGGCAATATATTTTCTACAGCTTTAGCGGTTCTGCTGGACTTCTTTCTACAAATCACTGCTTTTGTGGCTTTGGTTACATTAGACTTTGAGAGAGCCAAGGATAACCGGGTTGACTGCTTCCCATGCATTAAGTTGAACCGACACTCAATGGAGCAGATTGAAGGTACGTCTGAGCTTTCGACCATGGATACTGTTTTTTTTTTATTGGAGATGACAGCCACTCTTGAGCCTGTATGTCACATGTTGTGTTTTTGGGTAGTTGCTTCTTATATGGTATTGGAATCTCTGACCAAATTTCGAAGAATTGATCATTTATGACCTCATGCATACATGGCATGAGACCTTTGCTTCTACTTCATCATGCCTAAATTTTACCAGCCCTTTATCTCTCAGGGTCTCTCATTGTTAATGATCTTTATATTTTCCTCTTCCTCAATCTATCTCAAAAACCTTAGATTAGTTCGTCTTAATGTTGTGTTCTTTCGGTAGCTTTTAACTATCTCAGATAAAGTATGACCTACACTATCCCAAATGAATTCTGGTCCCAATGTATGTGTTTTAACCTTGCTATCCCAAACTCAGGTTTGTCATGGCTATCCTAGATGCAATTTGACACTGGCTATTCTAAAACAGTGATAACTTGATATTAGTTCATATTAGCCTCGATTTATAATCTTGGCTGAGCAACTTTCTCTCATTCTTTCGGGGACAGAAAATTCACTATTTTATAGAAGACAATGAAATGGCTGTTCTTGTAAAGGCGCAACCTTTTCCTAGAGTGAGCTGATGTAGTTACGATGCATATAGTTGTTCTGCTAGTTCCTCAGTGCTCTGGATCTTCTTTCATAAGATGAGAGATTAATAGCATCACTTTAGAGTATCAAAGTCTTTGTAGATGTTCTCTTGACCTGAACTCAGATTCTTCTTGGTCTGTTCAATTCTGGTGTTTCTTTAAAAGACTTAGGCTCTTAATGATTAAGGCATTAAGCCAATAAGATCTAAATTTCCTTTATGTAGATCTTGATTGATGTAGTAGCTTTGTCAATTTTGATGCTTCATACTTTCATTACTCCCTCTCTCCGCCCTACAATGAGTGACACATTTGAAAAAAAAATGTCCCAAAATGAATGAGCCATTTCAATTTACAATGCTATATTAATTCATTTTTTTCAATTGTACCCTATAATTAATACTACTTTCATCACTCCCAATACTTAATAATAGGTACTTTGGTCAAAACATTCTTCTATTTCCTTTATACAATTTTCTTAATATGTGTGGAATGGTTATCTGGGTCACTAGAGAGTATTATACACAGGGTTTTAAATTGTATATGTAAAGGATGCGACATCCTCGTCATATTTTTGTGACATCTTTTAATTATTGTAAGTTCTTCATGATTTAACATTGAGATAAACATTATTCTTGTAGAGAGAATCCTTCTTTATAAGTCGTGTATAACTGATATTTTTGTTGAGTCATCCATCCTTGAGTTGTGCCCATTGGATGCACAGATTTCTTTTCTTAAAATCTTCTTTGAAGTAGTCCATATTATTAGACAAATGTCTTCTTATTCTGTAAGTGTGAATTGCATTATTTTTCCAGGATTGCTTGATAAAACGTATCATGCATGGTTAAGACTTTTGGAAAATATATTAAGCGTGTATTGTTAGCGAGGTTAATCTTAACTCTACAAACTTTGCAAACACATTAGAGATCCTCAAGACTAAGATTGTTCAAGCAAAGCTAAACATTTCATATGTTCAAAGCTTAGAGGGTTAATGCATATATCAATTGGTTCTTGCCATGGTATCAAAGGCGCCATGACCAAGTGATTACGAATTTGATACTTGCTGCCCTTTGTGTCACGCAAGATTTAATTTCACTAAAATATTTGGTTATGTGCTATGTCAATGCTTCAACTCCAACCAACTTGCAAATGATGAGCATCAAGCATGTTAGAGATATGAATCGCTTGGCTGTCTACAGATTAAGATTTTAGTTTTAGGAGGATGCTGGATAGATTTTTTATTTATTGCAGTAGTCCTGAATTGTTTTTAGCTTCTGTTGAGTTGAGTATTTTGAACTTTTTTCTCTCCTTGCATGCATATAGTTCTAATCATATCATATTATCAAAGTGCAGGAACTAGGCAGGAAACAGATGGACTACTGACACGGTATATGAAGGTAAAATTATATTTTGTTCTTGTGATGAGAATAAAAAGAAGAAAAAAGATACTATTGTGCTACTCATGTTTTATGATAGTTGGTGATAGTTGGCAAAACATCTTTCAAACTCACATCGTAGACCTTATACTATTTTTCATTGCTTTTAGTATCAAAATTAACTGTTATTATTGTGTAAATATAGGAGGTTCACGCACCATTTCTTGGACTATGGGTAGTTAAAATCTTGGTCATTGCCATATTTGGTGCATTTACCTTAGCAAGCATTGTAAGTTACTTAAGAAATGATTAAATATTAAATTTCAGAAAGATCTTTTTGGAAAATATCATTTTCTCTATCCTTTTTTATTCAGGCATTGTGCATCAGGATTGAACCCGGTCTTGAGCAACAGATTGCTCTTCCGCGGGACTCCTACCTTCAGGTCTAAGTTTCTAATTCATTTCATTTTTTTTTGTAGCAATTTCTTTCAGTTCTATTCTTTATCATCCGGCCTCTTATAGTGGTTATATTTGTTCTGTTTACAGGGTTATTTCAGTAACATTTCTGAGTACCTCAGAGTGGGACCACCATTGTATTTTGTTGTGAAAGACTACAATTATAGGTTGGTTAATTTTTTAGGCGTTCTTGTTTCTTTATACATTGATGTCATTGTCTTTTAAGCATAGCACTAAATGCTGTACTATTTGCACATTGAATATGCCTTAAGCATGCAAATCTTAGATGGGTGAAAAAGAAATAGAATTAGTTGGCAACAAATTAGCCATGTGATTATTTTCCTCTAATGTGTGGAAAAACCTCAGATGTATCAATTAACATCACGGGAAACTTAATGCCTTTTTGTAGTCAGCGCCTTGAAATTTCACTTCATTCCTTGTTCAAGATGCTGTCTATTTGCCAATAACACAGTTTTAACTTGGTTGTATGCTCTTTTCTCTTCAATTTGTATCTAATTTTTTCGATGTTTTCCTGATATTCTCTCCTGTAGTTTGGAATCGAAACATACGAACCAGCTATGCTCCATTAGCAACTGTGATTCAAATTCCCTTTTAAATGAGGTAATCAACGATTAAATTCTTCAAAGCGGTTGTTCTTGAAAGCCTCTTATCTGATTTCCATATTTTCTTTAAAGAATTTCATCAGATATAATCGATATGTTGAGCCTAGCTTAGTAGCAACTATTCAGTCATTTCTACATTCAATAAAAATATACCGTGATATCGATGCCACCTGTATCTTTAGCCACATTTGATTTTTACTAACCTGATTTGATTTTCCTTTGATCATGCTAACCGTTAATGATTTTTCCAACCATTCGTCAATTCTATTAACAGCTCATCTTGTGTTATAAGTGGTTTGCACCTATGTAGCACGGACACCTCTAAAATACGGCTTGTCCGTGTCCGTGTCGAGATCGGACACCTGCACCGACACTTGTGATTACGTTTAATTTATTCAATTTTTAAATTATTACCGATGTCCCCGTGTCAGTGTCGTGTCATGTTTGGGGTGTCGGTGCTTAGGTTTGCACGAACTTCAACTTTGTTAATAAACCTGATTTCTATAGTCACCTTTTAAGTACAAACTATGATGTAGAGTTGTACATAGCTACACCTCATATCTTCGCGTGTGGGGAACTTTGAAGATATTGTTGAATGGTTGATTTTTACAGACGTACTAGTAATGTTTATTTTATTTTATATTATTTTTAAGCTTAGCTTATATGAATGGATTCTGCATATCTTGCTCCACAACACTGCAGATATCTAGAGCATCATTGGTACCGAAATCAAGCTACATTGCCAAACCTGCTGCCTCATGGCTTGATGATTTCCTTGTATGGATATCACCTGAAGCTTTTAGTTGCTGTCGGAAATTCACAAATAATTCATATTGTCCACCTGATGATCAGGTATGTTCTTCTCATATGTTTGGATATAAAACTCGTGTGCAGCTTGCTTGATTTTCCTTCTCTTCTACATATTTTGGAAACTATATTCATGCACATGGTATATATGTGTGTTTCCGCATCATGTTTTTTTTCTTCTTTTTCCTGCCTAATTTTTCTAACTGCTGCAATTGTTTGAAGTATTAATCTGATAAGATATTGCTCCCTGTACAATCACAATACTAAATATCTGTTCTTGTTCAGCCACCTTGCTGTTTCCCAGATGAAGGACCGTGTGAGTTTGGTGGAGTGTGCAAAGACTGTACAACAGTAATATAGTTTTCCCTATACTTATTTTGTTCATTAAATATGAGATTATTTTCCAAAAGACTTTAAACTGTAAATCAAAAGGGTGCAGTAGCAAAAGGACTGACTTTTGGTTAATTCCTAGTGTTTCCGCCACTTGGATTTGGTTAATGATCGTCCATCTACAGCACAGTTCAAAGAGAAGCTTCCCTGGTTTCTTGATGCGCTGCCATCAGCTGATTGTGCAAAGGGTGGCCATGGAGCTTACACCAATAGTGTAGATCTCAATGGTATGAAAGATTCCCACTCTTTAAAGAACAAAATTTATTCTATTCGTTGTGTATTCTAATTAAGCCTTTACATGTGTATATTTTTTAATACTCTATTCTGTTGAAGCTTCTGATGCTATTGCCGTTCAACAACCCAATCATCCTGTCATCCCTCCCTTTTCATCTTCATCTTTCTCCTCTTATGAGTCGAATCTCAATCTGTGCTCTTAAAAATTGAAAGAGTACGAGAAACTGAGCATAGTGAGAGAAATTGAATTTGTTATTACTGATTATGTACAGTTATCCCTAACTCAATGTCCTGCGAACTAAGTCTTTAACAGGCTGCAACATAAATGCAATACATAAACTGAGAAACTATATACTGAACTTAAAAGTATATTTGTGTTGTACTGTAATATCTACCCAATATATTCCATGCTTCCATGTAGTCATCACTCTGAGACTTTTCTCACCTTGATCTGTTTTTTTTCCTACTGATAGAGGAGATTTGAGACAGTGACACCATTGGTTGTTGTCAGAAAGGCCATCAACGTTGTCGGATGTCTAACTTAGTACTCTCAGTCAAAAGCTCTTTTAACCCCGGCTTTTCTTGGGTTAAACTGTCCATGCCCCTCTAGTTTATGATGCTATGCATACCTTCGTCCCCACCTATTTTTACAATTTTGCTTCACCTCCAATTGCGGATGAGTCTGCATCTTGGTTCAATTACCACAGTTCTTTGATCTACTTCTCACCATGGTATACCTTAATTTTATCAATTTGGTGTATTATTATTTTTTATTAATTTGGTAGACATTTTTGACCCATACCTGTTTTGGTTCAGCATTGTTGTTTTGATTTGGCAGGACCAAATTAGATAACTTCTTAGGGCCTTCACGTATTAAATTAACTCTGACACTATTGACTGTGAACAAGTATGATGTAGCAAAGGAGAGACAGAGAGTTAGTGAAACTGGAGAAAACGAAGATTATAATTTCTAGAGTTAAAAATGATTGAAGTATCTATGGCTGTAGATTATCCACGTGCGTTTGCAGAGTCTGGGAAGATTGGTGACCCCAGAGTTTGACGGTTTTACAATAAGCATTATGGAGATGGAGTAAAAGGCTCTTTTTTTCTAGTAAAAATGGTGGAAGATAGGAGTGGCGTATAAAGATAGACACTGTTTAAAACTTATATTTTGTGTTAGGAGAGTTAACTGTGGCAAAAAGCCTTAGATTAGATGTGCTGTGCCTAATTAGCAAAAAAATACTGTATAGCAAACACATAAAGTTTTAGTAAGTTGTCCTTTTTAAAATCTTTTGTATACTTTTTATATTATATGGTTACATTTTCTTCTCAAATTTTAAATTCTGATGTAAAGATTTTACTTATAACTGACTTTCAGGTTACAAGGGTGGTGTCATACAAGCTTCTGAATTCCGTACATATCATACACCACTTAATAGACAAGTATGTAGGGTGATAAATAAAGATCTTATTTCCTTGCTTATGCATGATGTTTCATGCACTATTTTTTATCTAACTGGAATCTTGTTAGGGTGACTATGTTAATGCAATAAGAGCTGCAAGGGAGTTTTGCTCTAAAATTTCTGCGTCTTTAAAGGTTTGGACTTCAATTGCTTTATGAGTTTTTGTCTTTTGCCTCTTGGTTTAGCCTTTTGCTTTATAGGGTCAAATAATTTTTAAGGATATGGCCTTTGCATGCAGAGCTTAGGAATTGAACGTTTTCTTCCCCTTGCAATTATTAATTTATTACTGCTTTCTATTAGAGCTGTACTACATTCGTGAGCCTTTTCCTGGGATAGTCTTGGTTCTTAATTTGTTTACACATCAGTGTTTGATTTTTCTTTTACCAATCTAATACTTTACTTGGAATTGTAATACTTATTTTTTGCTTGAGCATTGAATCTCAATCTCTAGATGTTTTGGAGTTAATAACTCGCCATACTTGTCACCCGAATATCTCTTTCTTGGTATTAAGTTTTTCACAAAATTGTAGGTGATGTGATTATGGATGTACATATCATTTTTTGTCCTAGTGAAGTATTTTTGATTTGGCTAAGTCTGGGCATAGTGTCTGGCATTATTACTTTTATGCATCTCTATTTCTTGCTGACTTACCTTTACCTGTGCAGATGGATGTATTTCCCTACTCAGTATTTTATATCTTCTTTGAACAATATTTGGATGTATGGAAGATAGCCCTGATCAACATTGCGATAGCACTGGGTTGGTATTCTAAAACAGTCTAATAACATTTACACATGGGATTGCATACTTGTATAAGAAATGTATTTTTATGAGATCAACTGTTTGTTTTGATCCTAGATACCCCCCTTCTGTTTATTCCTATTTTATTGACATCAAACTCTTAAATATACCTTTCCCTTTATGGTCTTTGAGTGAGTACTTTGTTGTCTTGTAAATGTCAAGGCACTTTATGTATGTCTCCAGAATGACATACAGCATCTATTATTCTGTTGCTTTCTATATTGTTAAATATTTTAGCATCCGAATTTAAACTCCACACCATTAGGTTAAACTTAATTGACATTCACTTCACATTTTCCTTTGTGCCAAAAATAAAATGTAATTCACATCATCTCGTGTTTCTCCATGTTCTTGTTTCTCTATGACTAAAACTTTTCAATTTTTACTTAAGTCATCTGAATTTTTTGTATTAATTTTATCTTTTTCTAATCAAATTCATTTGACGTTGAACAATTTTTAATGATATGTAACAGGTGCTGTTTTTGTTGTTTGTTTGGTCATCACATCAAGGTAGAAAATCTATTCAAACTCAAGCCTTGTATTACAGTAAATTCAAAATTTGTTCTCTCGGTATTATGTGTAATTTATTTTTATTTGCAACCCAATGCAGCGTGTGGAGTTCAGCAATCATATTACTTGTTCTTCTCATGATAATTCTGGACCTCTTGGTATCACTCATCTTTGTTGATTTGAATTTTGTTGTCTTTCTTTTGCCTTTTCTTTAGGTATCCTATTTTCCCCCTTTCTATTCTTTTAGGGACTCTCTCTTGTAAAATTCAGTTGCACCTTTTTCTGTTAAATCAATACCTCTTAGCTTCAAAATTAAACTCACGACTTCTGTGACTGCTGCAGGGTGTAATGGCGATTCTGGGTATTCAACTAAATGCGGTGTCTGTTGTAAACCTGATTATGTCAATAGGGATTGCCGTGGAGTTTTGTGTGCATATAGCCCATGCATTCATGGTTAGTTTAATCTTCTGTTTTGTTTTATACATTGAGGAGCCTTCCTCATAAAGTAACATGGTTAGTTTAATTCTCTCTCAAACTGGCACTTCACAAATTACATTTCCAACACGTTTATTAGGTCAATGTTGTTATGGAAATTACTTTAGCTTGTGGAAATTACTTCAGTTCCCTCTTTCCTTTTATATTATATTATATTATATTATATTATATTATATTATATTATATTATATTATAATATGTTATGTCTGCTGTTAAAAAAATGCATGTTCACTAATGTTCTTATACATTATATCACTCATGTTTATACAGGTAAGTTCAGGGGATAGGAGTCAACGAGCAAGGACAGCATTGTGCACCATGGGGGCTTCTGTATTCAGGTTGGCTATGCATATTGTTACATTGCATGTAGAAATTTCATGACACTTACCGCATAGGTCCCGAGTAACATTAATATTTGCTTCAAAAGAAAAGTTGATCATGTATGTCAAATCTCAAAAGTTAATTAGTCAGCACTAAGTCAAGATCTAAGCAGTTCACGAAGTTTATTTTAAAAACGTTATTGTTATGCCTAAACTAAAGGAATGGTAAGATTACACTTTTTCTTAGAATAAGTTATAGTTCATTATGATAAATTGATTTGAACTGTGGTCTTATTATTTGTGTCTGCACTATGTTGACCCTTTTCTTTTTACTTGATTTGGCAGTGGAATCACACTTACAAAATTAGTTGGAGTTCTGGTCCTTTTCTTCTCAACATCAGAAATTTTTGTGGTTTGTGATATATCATCGTTGGCCTCGATACTTGGTTGTCTATGCAAAAGATAAAGTAGCTCACTATCTTTATGGTCTTTGCAGGTGTATTACTTTCAAATGTATCTGGCCTTGGTTATCATTGGCTTCTTGCATGGTCTGGTGTTTCTACCAGTAAGTGATGTTTGAGGTGTTTGATTTGGCTCTATAAATAACAGTGACAATGTATAATAGGCTTTACTCCTGCATTTTCCTTGTGAGTAATTGACCACCCATGGTAGTAGTAGTAGCTGATTTGTTAGCACTTTTCTGTAAGTCTTTAATGAGGCTTGTGGAGTGTTTCAACCTGGGAATGGATAGCATAGCTTCTCTGTGAACTTGTTATGTATCAAAAAAAGTATATACGATAGTTAATCATGAAATGTCTCACATTTCCTGCCTTTTTTTTTCTCACAGGTGGTATTGAGCCTGTTTGGTCCTCCATCAAGATATGCAGATATAAAGGAGTAGCTACAAGACATGTCTTCTGCTTTCAACGAAACAACCTCTACAATCAAATTGAATTTTAACCAGTTTGCTTCAGTCCGACAACATATACGACAACATATACAATGCACACGAAAATTCGTTTTGACCATAGAGGATTATCATTATCTTTTCTTTTGACTTCTAAAAAGGCTTATGCTTATACATCTCAACATTGTCAGGAAAAACTTCATACTAAAGTTTACTTAGTTCAGATGTTATGGTAGGACTGACTAACAATTAGTTTAGTTTAGTATTTCTACGATTCAAGGTCGAATGTCGAAAAAATTATTTGTATTGTAATGTACTATTGTTATACTTTATAAACAATGTTAAGAAAGAATGAAAGGCAGGGAACTAGAACTGAATAAATTGCAATGCAATTCATCTAGGTGAAAATAATTTACATGTTAGATCATATTATATTTTCTTTTGGCTTTAGAAGATTTTTATGATCGGTGATTATATTTTCACCATTGATTTAATAATATTAATATTCAACAACCAAGATTTGTTACCGGTTGGTAACATTTTGTTTTTGCTTATTTGAAACTATTTTTTTTTTTCAATCATTTTCATCCTTCATCGTCATAAAAATCCAATTCATTCAAATCATCTTTCATCATTCTTAAAAACTCATTCACCCACCATCATTATCATTTTTCACCATTCGTAAAACTCAGATCAATTTATCATCTTTATCTTCTATGATCATTTTTATCTCAAAAATCTAAAATAAATAATAATCTTATATACAAATTTAACAAATCGTAAGATTTTCATCTTAAATAATAATCTTACAAATTTAACAAATAATGATCATTTTAATCTTAAAAATGAATTCAATCTAAAAAAATTCTATATTCCTATCTAATCAAATCTAATCTATTTTTGGTTAAATTTTATTCTTTTAAATCTGAAGATTTTCTATTCTAAATTAGAAAAAACAAACATGTAGATTTGAAATTGAAACAAAAATATCTCTTTGCAATACTTTGAAAAAAATTCTCTTAAATTTCAAGTATTATTAATAAGAAATTGAAAAAAAAATTAATTGATAGATCTAAAATTGAAAAGTACATCCGCAGGAATAATTGATTTTTGGTTTAACTTAGAATTTGCAGGAAGAAGATAGACACCTCTTTGTTTGTTGGGGAGGAACAGAGTTAATCGATTAACTCAAAAGAAACGTGTCCACCTGTTTGCTTGAGCCCTCCCCAGACATGTCAAATATAGATATCAAAGTTGTGAGCCATCGTCTTGCTGTCCATCCATACCAAACTAGCAGCGCAAAGGAAGTGTACGGTTGTCGAGAAAAAGAGGGTCACCATTGATTATGAGGTGGAAAAGTTATCCAATGTCAGATACATCATTGGAACGAAGTACCCTAATTGATTGACCAGTGTAGTCCTGATACGAAAATCTAACCACAAATGATGCATGTACCTAGACTTCACCGATCTCAACACTGCCTGCCCCAAAGATCCGTATCCATTGTCGGACATTGACTGTCTAATCGTTGGATCGTCATGCTACCGTGTGTTTAGTTTCATGGATGCCTAGTCGGGGTACTACCAAGTCAAGATGGATCCCTTGGACGCACCTAAAAACGCATTCATGTCGAACCATGTAAACTACTACTAAATGTCATGCCCTTCGCCCTAAAAAAATGTTTGCGCCACGTACCAACGACCCATGGACATAATCTTCGCCCACCAAATTGGGTGAAATCTTGAAGTATATGTCAATGACATGATTATCAAGAGGACAGATGGGCATAATCATGTTGATGACCTGAAGGACATCTTACAATCAATAAGAAGGTATGACATGTGCCAAAATACCGTCAAATGCTCTTTCAGAGTACATGCGGGGAAATTTTTGGATTTCATGCTGATGAAGATAGGGATTGAAGCCAATCTAGACATGGGATTGAAGCCACTAATGTGAATGAAATGCAACAACTTACTGGGCACCTCGCCACCCCTTCTCACTTCCTCTCTTACACGAGCGATAAAGCTTTCCTTCGTCTACCTAAGAAAAAAAGGAGAAGTTTAAATGGACCTCCGAGTGTGAGGACGCCTTTACCCAGATCAAGGAGTTCCTTACGTCTCCCTGATCCTTACTCGCTTGAAGGAAGACTTGCCTTTGCTTCTTTACCTCTCGGTCAATTATCGGGCAATGAACTTAGTCCTTGTCCAAGAGGTAGACAAAACAAAGGCATGTGTATTTCATAAGCAAAGTGTTCAAGGGAGTTGGGACACGTTATTAGAAGATTGAGAAGCTCACTTTAGCTGTTCTGCAACGTGAAAACTTTGAATTTATTTCCAGGGGCACACCATCTTTGTAAAAACCAATTATCTCGTCCGTCAAGTATTGAAGAAACCCGACCTAACAGAAAGGATGGTATCTTGGTCGGTAGAGCTCTTAGAATACTACATCCAGTACGTCCCGAGAGGGAGCATCAAATGTTAAGTCCTATGCAACTTCATGTTCGAGTTCAGCTCACCCATCAAAGAAGATCCACCTTCAAATGGGTGTTGTCGGTATTCGACGTCTCTAATGTAAAAGGGGGGGGGGGGGGGAGGGATAATACTTGAAGGACCGAGCGATATAGTTATTGTGCAGGCCCTAAAATTCGAGTTTACTACCAGCAATAATCAAGCAGAGTACAAGACTCTCATCACTGGTATGGTCATCACCTTCAAAATGGGAGCCACCAGACTAAAAGCTAAAAGCGATTCTCAGCTGGTCGACAACCAGGTCTCAGAATAATATTAGACCAAGGAGCCCCTGTTGATAAAATATCTACAGAAGGTAGGAAATGTGTCCTCATGTTTCCTCTCTTTCGAGGTAGAGTACGTACCCCGTGAACAAAACTTTAGGGCATCTTGTCCAAGCTATCCACATCAATGTTCGTGGGATTCAATAAGACATTCATACATAAGACTCTAGCCTCCTCTAACATCTAGGCAGAGGAAGCATATTTCCTGGAACCAACCGTGCTCCACCTCCATAACCGACCAGGTAACCACACCGATCAATCGGTCAGTTCCCTACACTACCGGGCACAACAATTGTCGAGCTGACACTCCCAAAAAATACAAAACAAGCGTAATAAACATACATTACGAGCATACAAACATGCAAAAATAAAACGAGCATACAAACATGCAAGCATAATCGAGTGCACACTTAACAAAAATATTGTATCATAAAAGACGGGCACAAACCCAGTATTCAGCTACACCACAAAAGGGCACGCAGGCCCGATAAAAGAACTTAACAAAAATCAACGACATATTGGCGCGCAGGCCAAAAAACTACGAGCACGCAGGTCCTGAAACATTTATACATACTCAAATCCGTCCGCCTCGGGCTCGTCGGCCGGGGTAGCATCTCCATCATCTTCGTGACCAAGGGCGACCACCCGCCCGTCGATGACCTGGTGGAAGGGCCCTATCCCGTCTGTGACCAAGTCGACCTCAGAGTTCACCGCCTTGAGTTGATCCACAATATCGGCGAACTCGACTTCGACCGTTTCCAGGAAGTCGCGCTCAAGCTCGCGGATCTTCCCCAACAGATCAGCACGGGAAACCAGAAGCCTCTCCTCGTCCGTTTCGCCTCGGCGGGACGAAGTGAGTCCTCCAGCTCCCCCACACGAGCCCGCAGCTTCAACAGTTCCTCCTTGGCAGCTTTCACTTTCTCCTCAGCCTCGACCCCCCTCTTACGCTGCGTAGCCACTTCCTCTTTGCTCAGGTTCAGTTCTGCACTCAGCTTAGTCAACCTCGACTGAGCAAAGGTGAGGTCACCCTGCAGCTTGCCCAACTTGACAGAGGAGAAACCTTCATAACTTAGAGCTAAGGCTGTCAAGAAAACCCGCATCATGGCAGCCAGATCCTCAGTAGGCACCTGCCTCCGGGTAGCCCGACTCTCCCCGAGGATTGCCTTCGCCTCCGCGGCCGGCACAACTGGCAATCTTGCGCCATGAAAGAACCCATGCTTCTGGTGGTAGGGGGATGAGAAACCCCTCCTCGGAGATCCCTTCCGTAAGGTCGACGACGGCCTCCGGCAATTGGGATCTAGCCCGCTTAGCAGCTCCTTATGACGTCGAGAACTGACTGCCTTGTGGAGATGACGAAGATCCTCTTCCTCCCTGGTCCGATACGGCCTGCTGGGCCACCTGGGAAACCCTACTCTTCTCGACTTTTTCCGCGGCTCTCGAGGCCGCCTATTTCCTCACGTGTTCTTCGACAGACGACATGCTCCCTGCAAAATAAAACAGAAAAAAGGCCAGCAAACAAAAAAAATGACCAAAAGGTCAGGCTGAAGGTCGACCACCTCCTAGGAAACGGAGGGCCTCCTCATCGGATGAGCAATCGAGCATAGCCTTTGTGCTGATCAACCTCCTCTGCTGGCAAACGCGCCCCTGGCTGTCGAGGATATAATTGTCGTCGGGCGTCACCAGTCTGGCCGGAGGTAAGCTGGCCACGAAGGATACTATCTTCTGATAGCCCGTCAAGTCTTCCTCATCTATAGTCTCCACTCGCACTATATAGTGGTCCGTGCCCTTCTTGAAGTGCTCCTCCGTCCACTCCAAGGGCACCCTCGACACCATAACATCTTCCTGTTGCCCGTCCACCTCACGGACCTCTCGCCGATATAGGGAGGCGCACACCTCGTGCAAAACGGGTCGGACCACGAAGAAGAGAGCCTTGAAGTCCCTAACAAAATCCATGTATGTCTGGAAGAGTTTCCTCGGCTGCTTCAGCGACAGCCACCCGTGCAGGCCATCAACCGTCTGCCTCTGTAGGTGGAAAAGGAGAAAGAAGAGCGACAAAGTGGCCCCGACTTCCAGATGCCTGCAGACGAGCTAGTACGCCCGAATGAAAGCTATAGCGTTGGGATGCAGCTGTGAGGGAGCAAATTTCAACCAGTCGAAGACCCCCAGCTGGAAATCTGTGAAGGGCAGCCTGCGACCAGCC